TCCTTTAATAAAGGTGTTGGCGGTGCTCCGCAAAGCACGGTCACATGTTACATATGCGGTAAGACCGGTCACTACTCTCGGAACTGCTGGCAAGCGGGGAACAGATAACCTCCGATTGTAGACACCGAAGCTGGGGAGATGAGAGAATTTTACAGAAGAGCTGTGCAAAGAGAAAAAGAGGAAAATGAGAGAAGGGCGAAGGAAGATGGGGAAAGATGAAGGTTGGACGAGGAAAGGAGGAAGGAATCCGATAAGATAAGGGAGGCAGAAGCAAGGGAGGCGCGCTTAGAATCCACCATTGTCCGACTGTTGTCACAACACAATAGGGTTCAACTGACTAGCGCCTCAGTTCCCGTCAAGAAGAAGTCTCCGAGATCCAAAGTCAGGATGCTTCGGGAGATAAGGAGCTACTTAGATGAGTCAGAAGATGACAGTGAAGAAGTGAAGGAGGAGGCGGGTAAGTTAATCGACGCTATCGAAAAACGTAAGAGAAGTGGGAAAAGGAAGGTGGTTGAACTAGATGAAGAGCAAATTTCCAAGAAATCAACCAAGCCGATGGCGGATCTGAGAGACGAACAAGACGAGGATATGCGAACGCCGAAGAAGAACCTCGCAGCTGGCTGCTCTAACGAACGGATGGTTGAGTATGCTCTTGAAATCCACTGGAGGATGTCGGCAAAAAAGGTCGCAGAGCTTCGGAAAATATGTAGTAAGGAGGGTATACCGTGCGCACGGAAGGAAGAAATGATTTGCGAATTAGTGCGCTGTAGGACAAAACTCGCTTATGAAGGTTTCAATGAGAAGATTCATGCCTCACTGAACGAGAACTGAGTCCGCGGCTTACACCATGGATTCTCTTCATACATGTATGGTGGCTAGAGCGGAGGCACTTGGTAAGGAAGGTAGACTCGTACACTCAGATCTCGAGAACCAGGCAACTAGGCTGTTCCTACTATTAGCAATCCAAGGGAAGTTTCCGTGGATGAAGAAGTGGTTACCTATCCTTAATGATAAGGCTATAGACACGGTGGATACCCGGGAAGCGGGTGTCTATATGATCACTAGTCCATGGTGTAAACACATCTACGTTGGATGTACGATTAGGAAAATTGTAACTAGATGGGCTGAACATGTTAGATGTGCTGTGTCGGGGAACTATGGTAATGCACGGAAGCTGCACATTTGGCTAAGAAGGTTCGGATGGGAGAAGTACGTGATTGTACATGTGATCGTAAGAAAGGAGGATCTAACAAATGTAGAATCGAAGCTTATTGAGAGATTTTCGCCCGCACTCAATAACATCGGGAGAAAGAATGTAGGAGCAAAGAAACAGAAACGCAAAGGGAAGAGGGAGAGAGGGAATCAGAGAATCTGCGGGAGTCAGAGCGCGGTAGTCCAGTTCCTATATCAGGGCAGTGACTTATTTTACTTATTGAATTATGTAAGAAATTTTCAGAGGGACAAGGTATCGGGCACAATCCAATCAACCGGGGGAGGTATATGGTGTGAGGGATGGAGGCAGATCAGAGAAAAAGCAGGGGATACGGAGATAACGATAGATGGGAGGAATTTCCATCTGAAGGAATGTCGGTCACTATTAGAGGTGGGTTGTCAGTTTTTCGTACGAAAGGTACGGATCTTCTCCTCCGCCATAGAGCACAGGAAGAACTTTCTCCGGGAACTCCTGGTACGTCCTTATCGAGTGAAGCTGGCGTATCAGATGACTTCAGCGAAATTGATTGCGTTATACCGGACCACGTCTCTGTTTGCTACGAAGAAGACGAGAAACAAGTTGAAGATTCGGGTCTCCAAGGTTATTAAGGAAAAGTACGGTGTGGATATTTATAAGAGGCCTTTCGTCAAGGGACCAGAGCGGTTCGGGACGTCACCATAGACGCTATCGGCCGTTTGATTCCAGATGCATCGATCCGGAATTATGTTTCAAATCGTGTTCGCGTGGTGCTTATGAGGAAGAGGACCGTTGCTGATCTGATCCATAACCATCGGGTATGGGCTAGAAAAGACGTTGGGGTGTGTACATGTGGAAATATTGATCTCCCAAGATCGCAGGGACATGTGGAAGCAAGGGTTGATGGGATTCAGGATCTTCCAAGATTTTTACGCAACTGCAGGAATGTCATATATAGTCCAGACAATCCTGATTCAATCAGAAGACGGATTAATGAGGCACTGAGGCCCTGGGTGAAGTAAGGTAAGTTAGCACTGAATCAGGACCTTCTTCAAGCATGCTGGATAGAGAATCAATCTCATCCAGCCAGTATGAGTGAAGATCAGGTACGCACACGTTTTGAGCCTTACAGAGATCTGGTTGTGGTCCCTGTGGATTGCAACCAAGGTGCCACGGTTCTTCTTTGCCCAACGTTGTACTTACACGCGCAGAATCTAACTTTCCGGTGGAGTAGCAATTTCGAAGTAGTAAGTGGTTCGGGGGCGAAAGTATTGAGTCGAGCGAGGTGGGATTATACAACAGCGATTTCGTCAAAACGGACATTTTATATTTTTTGAACGAAATTGAAATTGTCATTTTTGAGATGATTGAAGTGCAAAAATCATTACAAATGGGCGTTTTGGTGTAAGGGGTAAAGCGTAAGGTATATGGGGTAAGGTATAAGGGGTAAGGTGTAAAGGGTAAGGGGTAAGGGGTAAGGGGTAAGGGGTAAGGGGTAAGGGGTAAGGTGTATGGGGTAAGGTGTAAGGTGTAAGGTACCATGCAAGGGGCAAGTGACACAGTGCACCGAGGAATAATTAACACCTTATATACATTGTTTTTTGTCAAGCGCCATCTCGTGCCAACCACGTCCGCCCCCTTCGCAATCATACTACATAATATCACGTACACACTACTCATGAGCCACTGTGTCCAATGCCATCCGACGACGTATCGCGGGTATGTCATCTGCGGTGAAACAGAAAGGCGGAAGTTGGCCCCGTGCCAAAAGTGACGCGTACGTGAGTGCAAAGACCCCACATTCGTTCGTGTCATGTTGCTTTGGAATGCCCTCTACATTCCATATGTGATTGAATGGTCTCGTGTCCACCTCTTTGCCTTGTGATTTCGATCTTTCGAATAAAAACTTTGCAAACCCGCCGGTCACTTTTAACGCGAACTCCTTGTCGGGGTCGAGGGGGTCGTAGAATTCGAATTTCCTCCTCCTTTAGTCAGCCACGACCAAGGTCCAGTGGTCCTGGTGTGCGCTATGGAAAGGAGCAATAATCAAATCCATATCACTTATAATTACATCCTGGTACCAGCATTCTACCTCTCAGCCGCTATATCTCATGTCATTATCGAAAAGTTTGACCAAAAAAACGAGCTCAGCACTGATACTCTGGGAATGCGACCGTTTCCTTCTCTAATGACTATCTCATTATCCGTGTCGCATTCTATGTGCTGTATTCTACAGCAGTTGTCTAATGCTACGAGGTTGAGATAAAAGTTGATCACGTTGTCGTTTAACCACTGTTGTTCGACGGCGAGTAAAAGGGAATCGTTGCGAGTGAGTTGCAACACTTCGTTATTGTGCGCATCTTGTGTGCTGACAACGGGATACCTATTCCCGTATTCGCGAATAATATGCGTTAGTGCTGACATCTCCCTCTCCGATAAAGACGAAGTTGCTAGATGCATTGTCCATCCTCTTTTGCACAATCTTGTATCCGTTGTTGTCATTTGTACTGCAAACCACAGACGATGAGGAAGAGGACATCACGCGGGCGGATGGGGCAAGTATTGTGAGTGCATGGCCATACGTTTTGTGAGAGCTGATGCATGCAAGGCATGTTTTCATTATTTCCCTAATATTTTACTTGTATGAACGTCATTCACATATGCAGTCATACATTCCTCGCATCGATCGACCACCCTTATATAGTACGTCCGCACACACACGTCCATGTCGCAACGAACGAGAGATAGATAGATAGATAGATAGATAGATAGATAGATAGATAGA